AAACAGCCAATCAGAACGCACGATTTTTTAGGATACCGGACCGGAAAAAATATATATATAATAGTGCCACTTCACGAGGTCTTGCATGAAGTAGTAACCTTTTTTTTTGTGCCGAGGAATAACCGAGAGCGATTTTTCTTACATTTGGGCTTCCTGTGTACAATTTCCCATGATGCTCAGGGTTATGCTGACATCAAGAAAGTTCAAAGCAAATTCACAAAAGAAAATGGCTGCGAAAATAGCGATAAATTACTGAAAAATAACCCATAAAACCTAAGCTATGCGGGCGGAATAGGGCCCTTGGAGACTCCTGCATGAGTAAGGTAAAAGCAAACAATCACCATGGAGCAGAAATGGGAGAAAATTCTAGCTGTAGCGAGGAAACACAGGGAAAAACAAGTGAAAGCGAAGAGAACTCGATAAACAAACGAGAATGTGAAGATAACAGTTGCGAGAAAGAAGAAAAACCGCCGGCTACGATGGCAGAAGAAAGGTAATAACCCTTCTCTGTACCTCTAAAAGTTTTAATAATGGTATTTTGATAATTACTTGGATAGAGCATTTTTCATAAACTATTACCGGGTTACAGTTGCTTGCAAAAACGTATAAGCTCACCGTTCTCTGTACTGATCGCGTGATAATTTTCGATATTTAAATTTTATGTTTGCAATCTATTCAAATTTAATACTATGAACCGTAATTATATTCTGGAAAAACGTAGTGGTAAATATACAAAGCGTAACTAGGTGCATTGTACATTTATTATATTTTGTTTTATTTTGAACAAATAAGCTTATGCTTAATTGTCTTTCCTTAATAATCCATGAATGTACAGTATTTGATTTATTTACCTTATTTTCGCAGGCAAGAGTGCAGCAAAGAGGAAAAAGAAGAGACAGGACAGGAGAATAAGAAAGAAGAAGTATGTAAAAATTATATTAAATCTTTCTAAAATTAGTTTGAACCGTGATGAAAGAAAGATTGAGGTTGAAACTGATAGAAAAAAGTCCAACCTCAACCTGATATTATTGTTTCTTGGTCTTTGGAGCAAATTTTGGCTTTAAAATTCTGTTCCGTTTATGAAATATTAATCATACTACTATCCAGAATCCTTAACACGATTTGTCCAACCTATTAACTATGTCCGATTCCTAGTCAAGATACTAATATTATTGGTATCAGGATGTCGTATGGGAATGTACATGTAAAAGTCAGCCGTTCTCAAAAGTCCTCTGGGCTTGGGTGTATGGGTGTATGGGTTAAGAATGAAGGCTCAGAGCCCTGAATAACAAGGCAAATATTATTACTGCCATTCTCAATCACACGCACTGCTCTAGCGATTGTTTCTGTCGTGACGAAGAAGCTTTTGGTGGACGTCAATCAAAGTGTTTCCATGACATTCTGTACACGTAGGCACATGCCCTTATAGCTTTGTGTTTCTGACAATGTTATGGAAACGCCTTGTGATTGACATCCGCCAAAGCCTTCTTCGTTGTGACAGAAACTATTGCTAGAGGGCGTATGTGATTGAGAATGGCTGTAACTACATGAAATTATCTAACGATTAGTTAACAGTAAGAATATGATAGACTTTGCAAGACAAGCAATACATGTGTCTCTGTCGTGAGACGTGTGTCTCTGTCGTGAGACGTGTGTCTCTGTCGTGAGACATGTGGGTGTCTATTATCGTGAGACATGTACAATCATGTAATCTCTATTGTGAGACATGTATGTTTCTATCACAGGGCTTAAAATAATGTTCAGACATAGGACAATGTCCACCCCAGGGCTCGAAATAGCGGCCTGCCAATGGCCAAATGACAGGCCAAATTTCAGGTTTGGCAGGCTAAAATAACGATGCACTGCCAAATGAATAATAAAATGGCATGCAAAATTCCTATTTCGAGCTCTGCACCCACAATTAGAATTTGTCTGGTCAAATCTCTGCCTTGCCAGTCATTTTAACCAGTAACGAGGTACATTAACCGAACTAAAACTAATTTGGCCAGTCATCATGATAGGCAACTTACTGGTCGTTATTTTAAGCCCTGTATCGTGAGATATACATGCATTGCTTGTCTTGATAGTCTTTGTTGAAAGATTTCCTAGGGGAAAATCCCTGTCTTCCACAGTACTTGGCTTAGATTTTATTCTGGCAAGTGTGAGTGTGAACATAAATAATATCTTTAGTAATAACAGGAATATAGAAGTGTTGGGCTTCCTGTGGTAAAAATTTTCACAGACATCCCAAACAAATGTTATGATTATTGAATTTTTATTACAGCTGTATCAACTACAGCTGGGCCCAGTTGTACGAAGGGTTGATACTGCAAACAGGAATATAGAAGTGTTGGGCTTCCTGTGGTAAAAATTTTCACAGATATCCCAAACAAATGTTATGAATATTTATTATCAACTGCAGCTGGGCCTGGTCGTACGAAGGGTGTTACTGCTATCGGATCCATAAATCTTTGTAAAGTGGATAAATCTATTAGATACATGTAATAGCATCACTTTATTCAATGGATAACAATAGCGCTAACCACCCTTCATACGACCAGACCCTGGGCATCTTCTATTTTTATTCAATTACCATTTCTTTAAACAGTTTTCATATGGATTTGTGTTAGTTGCATGATATACGAATTTCTAGTCTTTTTCATGAATATCACTCTTTAGGAAAATGAAAAAGAGAAAGAAGAAAGGGAGAGAAATGATGTGGTAAGATTTAACATTAGCATAATTATACAGCATTTGTTGAGCATTTACATACTAATTACCTTTTTCTTCTGCACGCATTGAGCCATAATGAAGGTTCCAGTACTGTAAATGACCACTCGTCATGAGTCTTTCTTGTAGTTCAGTGGTCTGAGCTACTGGCTGGTATCTGGAAGGGCATGGGTCCTATTCCTAAAGGGACTCAGATTTTTTTTTTTTGAGTTCATTTCAGCAAGTAACAAATGATCAATTCCAATTCTATATTTCTCCAGTTTAATGGAGAATGGCTAATACAAGTAATATAAAGATATTTATCTACTTGGTATAGAGGCTTTGCACTTTGGGAAGGAGGCACAACAATACAGCCTTTTACCCCTGCTAAGTTGATTTTTTTCTCATGTAAATCAGATTAGATCAGATTCAATTGTCCCTGCCTCCTATCATGATGGCCATCATGTGATGGTGCAAAGCCTTTATTAATGACAGATGTAAATATATACTCTATCTGAAAAAAATTTTTTTAATGTGAGGTTTCTTAATAAAATGTTTGCCATGGTATTTCAGTAATTTTTGAATGTGCACATGCATGCTAGTGGGGTGAAATCAAATGATCAGTTGTAAGCAATTACCATTAGATAAAATTGAATATTATTTAATTGTAGATGAAGATAGTGAATGAAGCTCAAGAGCAGATCAATACCAAGCTGCTTTTAAGAAGCAAGAATTTAGCAGCTGCAGGTTAGAAGTACATCATTCTTGAAATTATCTCACACATGAAAAAATACAACCAATCAGAATGCAGGAAAGCAGTTGTAAATTTGGCAGTGTGTCATGGCTCCTTTTTATCACTGAAAAAAAAATACAACCAATCAGAATGCAGGAAAGATGTAATATTAGTAGTATTCCCCTGTTCTTTTTCATCAGAGATGTTTAGGATTGTCACACCAGACCTTAAAATAATGGCCGATCAGTCGCCGTTCATGATCCACAGACCAAACTAGTTTTAGCTCAGTCATACCTCATTTCTGGCAAAACATTACTGGTCAAAATGACTGGCAAGGCAAAAATTTGACCAGACAAGTTCTAGTTCTGACCAGACAATGTCTGATGTTCACTTGGAGCCATTGAGTTGCATGTTGACCCTACAAACCTCTGTGTAGTAGGTTATGCTGAATGACTGAATGACCTACTTTCTAACACAAATAAAAAGATCAGACACAGATATTTTTCTTCCACAGGTTCTTCCTCAGACACTTCCTTGAAAGGACTAGATTCCTCTGTCAAGAAAAACTCTGCTTTCATAAAGAAGTTGGTAAGAGAAAATCAAACTACTGTAGTCTTTTATGAGTACAAAATAATATCATAACAGAACTTATGACTAGATTTATTGGCTTCTTTTATTAGCGCACTGTCACTGAACAACAGCGAGAATCTCTTACTAATGAGTTCAATGGATTGAATCTGTCTAGATACATCCAAGAAGCTGTGAGTATTAAAGTTTGTTTCTTCAGGTTTTCTTTTGATTTCTATAAACTCAGAGTAATTATTAATAATCTTATTTGATTATGCATCAACAGGTTACCTCAATCATTGAAGGGTTAGGGAAGCTGAAGGTAGGTCTATACATCATGTATATTTTGTGTGTCACACTTGGTACAAAGAAGCAGAACATTTACAATGGTATAGTCCTTTTTTGAGCTCCAAACTACTGCCGAGTTCCAGAGTCATTTACTCAAGCTTAGCCTCATATCAGTGTCTAAATATTCACAGATACCAACAGTAAAGTAAAGAATGCACAACTTCGACGATACAAACAATTTGAAATTCACAGACCTTTACTGGAACATGTGAATATTCAGAGAACAACTGAGAACTTGAAACTGGAGCATTTCATTTTGTAGGGATAGGGATTCATCCAATTCATTGTCATGCGTACCATATCTTACCTTCTACATGTTTTAAATGGATAAACTAATAAAGACAACGATAAGCCATTTACAGTACTGTGTTGAACCATGTCATACCCATTGGATCTAGGATTTTGAGAATTGAAGGCGAGGGGGATATTTTTGTTCAATAAGCATAAAAAATCGTTTACGCCTAGTAAATAATCACAAGGGCATACCACCTACAAACTTTGATACAATGAATGAAGAAATAGAAAACGCATGTGCGTGCTGTGTGCAGTTATAAAGCACACAGGGGTTGGCAGAATGCAAGAGAAGTGTTCGGAGAAGCACAGTGCTTTATAACTCCACACAGCACAGCAAGCAAGTTTTTTATTTCTTTTATAAAATACAAATTGCAAAAACTGTTATTTTAGATAGGAAAGATGCAACTGAAAGTGCGCCACATACTGTGTGCTCTCATGAAGCACACGCTCTCAACCAATCAGAACGCAACATTTATAACAGTTTTTTTATAATGTGCTGTAGTCAGTAATAGACAATAAACGGCTTCAATTGTTTAATATACTTTTTAATGTTTGTATGTTTGGTACCAAAGCAAGCAGATGTCAACTGTGTGGCACATGTTTGCAGTATCATCCATCAACGATATTCAGAGTTCTCAGATCTCCTTCGAAAAGAACTTTTCAAAATGTTTGAAAAATGTGGTGGGAAAGATGAAGAGCGTGCAGCAAATGTGTCACGCTTTAGAGTAACACTACGGCTTCTTGGCGAACTTATACTCGATGGTGTATTCTCTCTGGAAGATAGCGTCAAGTCGATAAGAGATATCCTCAGCAATGTCATCAACTGTGACAAGGACAGCCATGTATATGTGCAGGTGGTTATTAGTTTTGCTCGGCACTGTGGAGAACATTTTGCTGGTGTGTTACCAAGACGACAGAGACAGTTTGTAGAGAAGCACAATGTTATCTGGCCAAGTACTGGAGTCATTCCTGCTGAGGCCCAGAGTGCTTTTTGCACACTTCTTCGAAATTATTACTCATCACTTGCTAAACACTTGTTGAAAGCACACAAGGATTTGCAGAATAGGGAGAGACAGAATCGGGAAATTCTTCATGTATGTATAATTTTTCTCTTCTCTT